ATTCTATTCTATTCTATTCTATTCTATTCTATTCTATTCTATTATCCTACTCTACTTTACTTTTACTTTACTGTACTCCTACCTAGCACTCTGTACTGGACCTCTGAATTAAGCCTTGTGAGATTTCTTTGGTTTGCACATGGCAACATTGAGAGCGCAGCCATTCTCTGCATTAACCTGAGCTCTTGATTTGGTGTAGTAGTGTGTGAACCCTGCTAGAATGGTAGTGATAATAAGGGTACCCCTGTTCACATTTTACAAGCACTCGGGGGCCTTGTTAGAATAGTAGCTTTATTTATTTATTTATTTATTTATTCTATTTATTTATTCCATTTATATAGCCACCCACCTCAAATTATTGGCTCAACTCCTGATACTGGGCAGGGGGTGGACCAGATGGTCTCCAGGTTTTTTTTTCAAGCCTGGCGTTTTATGTTTCTATCACTCTAGAAATGCCTGCCGGTTTCCTTTGTACTCTATTTTTTGGTGGTGTTGGAGAATGCTTTCATTCCAAAAGATCTTTCCTGCTTGATCTTTTGTGTTTCAAAGGTAAGGCAAGCGTCTTTTGCAAAAAAAATATACCATTGTGTCTTTTAATGCTTTTGCTTTTGATGTTTTCTGCCTTCTTTGATCTTTAAATATTGATGGAGCTCTCTATATATTATTCTTTGCTCCTATTGCAACATCATTATTATTGTAGTTCTTGTCGCCCTTGCAAAAATGAACTTTTTTTTAAAGAAAAGCAGAATACAATTAACACCGGCTCCGCTAACTGGCAGGTTTTACCTGCTTTTCCACTTCTCAGTAGAGCTTAAAGGCTGAGGACTAGAAGCTGGGTTTTTAAAAAGCAGCACGGCCGCTGATTTTCAGGACCCTGGGTTTTGCGCTTATGGGATGTAACTGCAGCGAGCAGAAGAACATCTGGTTGTGCATGTGTGTGAATTTTTGTGTGTGTTTAAAGACAAGAGAGGAGAGGAGTGAAGGGAAAGGGAATAGAATTAGAGGAGGGGAAAGAGAGAGGGGAAAGGAAAGTGGATAGAAGGAGAGGAGAGGA